TTTTTTATTTAAAGTGTGCAGCCGTAAACATATTGCATAAAACATCATTGACTTTTAACCGGAAGTTATTATCTTGAACACACAACACTTTTCTTCTTAAAGATACGGACAAAACACATTCTCATAATCGATATTCATTTCTTTACAGTGTATTAAAGAAAAGGAAATTTACAATAATAACCAAAGCGTTCCTCTAATGTATCGAGTATGGGAGCAGGAGCAGGAAAACCATCTGAAAAAGGTATGTGCATTTACTTATAATTGCCATACAGCTTAATTTAAATGATAACACCAAAATTAATTAGGCATGTCATGTTTGACTTACATATTTTGTAACTAGAAGAGAGATAAATGGTTGGTAGCATAGCATTAAGTGTGCAAATTTGCTTATGACATCATGCCTGCCTTCTTGAAAACTGCATGAAGTTGGCGAAATTGCGCTTAAACATTTATTTGTATGCTTTTTATACAGTGTCACATACACTATTTTAATCATAGTAAATGGCTATCTAGCAGCTATTGAATAATCTGAATATCAATACAAAACGGTGTAATTGATATAATACTATAAAAAGAAGTATGCACCTAACAATCACTCGGAGCACACCGACGTTATACGACGTCAAACAACATGCTCAACGTCCAGACAACAGTTCACCTGCTCAAAGAAGACGCCACGTAATACATTTATGATATCAATGAATCCATTTGTTAAAGATGTAAATGTACCATGCATTATCATAAACAGCCAAAACATTCTATGCAAGTTTCGAATCTATATGATAGCCTTGAAGAAAGTGCTTTACCTAGAGGCCGTTCCCCCCTTTTTATTGTCTTTGTAAGACGTTCAACTCATTCCTTAATCTGTCATGCCATTTGCACACACAGGTTTATACACATTTTGATAAAGTTTTGGATTATTTTTTATTTTTTTTTATTCAAGTAAATTCAAGAAGGTCATAGACCTATGAGGACCATACTTACAAATAATTTACATGTTAACATTAAACGCATACATGTATAAAGAAGTTTTGTACGTTGTAGATTTTTAACATTGTTATTATTCATCTGAAGTAATTGTTAGCGAAAGATTTATGATAAAATAAATTTACTAAATGTGCATCAGTTGTTTAAGTTTTTAAACCAATGTTACTAATAAAGATACCTGGACATAATTATAAATTTAAATCATAACTTTGATGTTTGAATACATGTTAAATGAGAATCAAAATGAAATCAAAGTTTTATGTTATTTGTGACTTTGATATGGTTTTTATCAAAATACATAAATATCCAACAGGTAACACATCCGCTCTTAAAGGTTTTCGACCATCGTCGAGAGATCTTTTTTACTAAGATAAAAAAAACCAAACTGTTAACCACTATAATTCAAGACCTAATATTGCGCGTTTTTAAATGAGTATATAAAAGTACAGTTTATAACTTTACATGTCATAAGATGACTTAATATATTGATAAATGCATAAGGGAAGTTGTTGCAAATATGATAACAGAGATCAACACGGAAAGGCGACGTTCACAGAACGCAGCCCCGTTACATTTTCAGTTTTGAGGTTTCTTAGATATCTTCATTTGCACAACACCTGCAAAATTGCAATTTTCCCGAATTGTTAGGATTTAAACAACAGCGTGAAATTGAAAAAAATAAAAGTTGTACTAATTTCTTGTAATTTGTACGAGGTATAATCAAAAAGTTCCTGCCCCGATATACTTCTAGCCACTAAACTGACATTTACACACAATCCATCGATACCGATATCTTATTGAAGATTACTGACCGAGTAACTCGCAATTTTACACAGATTAAGTAACATAAAATACACTTTGATCGGTAGAGGGGTGTGTCATTTAGACCAAATGGAGAAAGTTGAAATCAGAGCCTTCATTAAGTACCTCTGTAAGAAAGGAATGTCTCCCAAGGAAATCCATGAAGACTTCATTTAAACACTTGGGAAGGAGTCCCCTTCCTATAGCACTGTGAAAAATGGGCTGTTGAATTTAAGAGGGACAGGAAGAGCATTGGAGATGATGGGAGGCATGGTCGGCCAAAAGAGGCAACCAACGTTAAAATGCCGAAGCCGTGCACAGTACGGTCATGTGCGACAGTAGGCGAGACCTGCATTGCTAGGGAAGTAGGTATAAGCTTTGGCTCAGTTCAGGCATGATGTCAATGGCATGTAAAAGGTTTCCGTTAGATGGGTCCCAAGACAGTTGACTGACGACCAGAAACGGACCAGGCTTGACATTTCAAAAAAGCCTTTGTCTCAATACGAGGATGAACCAGATTTGATCTACCGGATCGTAAATCAGGTCGAAATATGGGTTCAACACTTCGATCCTGAATAAAAAAAAACACAACAGAAAATGCAGTGAAAGCACCCTGGCTCACCCTTCCGAAGAAATTAATGAGGGTGCCATCGGCAGGGAAGATTATGGCTTCAATTTTTGGAATAGTCAGGGGATAATTATGATTGATTATCTTGGACAAGATCATTCCATAAACGGTACGTAATATACAGACGAAGTGAGACGTCTGCGTTAAGAAATCGCGCATAAAAGGAGGAGCAAACTGACTCAAGGCATTTTGCTCTTGTACCTCAATGCGCCAACTCACACATCCCAAGTTGCGATGGCTGCTGTAACTGACTGCGGCTTTGAAATACTTACCCATCCCCAATATACTCCGGACTTGGCCCCCTCTAACTTCTACCTGTTTCCGAAACTGAAAACCAAGCTTCGTTGTCATGGAAGTGGTCAATGACAACTTTGAGGACCAAAAATGAGAGTCCTTTTTTTAAAGGGTTAAACAAGTTGGAGCACAGGTGGGCAAAGTGCATTGATGTAGTTGTATAGAAAAATAAAACCATTAGTTGGGTTCTCCGACTACCGGAAGTACACCGGGTCGAGAACGTTTTGATCAATCCTCGTACATTGAATTGTGTAAAAATGTGTTATTTATATCAAATGTATAATGGTGCTTTAAACTGGTACTTTAGTTTTCTAACATTTGTATATATTCTTACACTTAGAGTGCTTCATGTGCATTTTAGTCTTTAACCCGAAAATCTACTAGATCACACAACATTCAAATGACAAGAAATAAATGACAACAAGATACCTTTAGTCTAAAAATAATTCGGAAAATGAAATGGATGAATTATTATACATAAACATTTGCGCAAGTCCTTCTATTTCAGTTGACCTAGAATGTGATCCATCAGACACAAGGATAAGTGTACTTGGAAACTCGGCAAATAAAACAAGTAACGAGTTTACAGTACCTACAAACACGTTGGTATCTGGGAGCAGAATTATATTCACGAAAAAGACGAAGATTAAGATAAAATTTAAAGGAGGCGGCGTTTTACGTATCGGGTTAACCAGTATTAATCCGTCAGACAACGAAAACATTCTTGAGGTTCGTAAAGTTTATTCTAAAAGTAGCTCAAAATTCATTTTATATGAATATAATTCTGCAATTTGTACATGAATTCTAATTATAATTTTGAAAATTTCATCGCATATTTTATTCAACGTTTAAGTGTTCCGCCATTAGTTAAAGAAATACATAAGAGGTATTCTTTAAATATTGTTGCGGTACAAGAACATGGCTGTATAACTTTTAATTGGGCTGAACGTAACTGCTGTTAATCCAATTGATGGATCCTTACTCTGACCTTTCATTTGAATAACAATAAATTTATCCACACACATGTGCTCTTTTGTTAACAAATATGTTGTGGTTAAATTCTTATTGTATCCACTAATCTGATGATTAGAATTGGACAGGTCAGGGATCTATGCATATGCCATCGAGTAGGGTGAGGCCCCTACATGTGGTTTGAACAAATGTTTATGTCTCTTTTATGAAGTAGTATATGGTGTAGTTTATATGTATTGATCTTGAATAATGGAAATCACTAAAATGGTATGTAATAATACTTTTTTAATATGTCAACAAATAAAACATAAACGTTTTCCTATAGTACAACACTCAGCACAACAGTTACTACAATGTATGTCCTGCGTAAGGAATTTCAGGTATTTTTTGGTAGCAACTGTCTCACCTTTCTACAACACAGTCACCTATGCCAAGTTCTACTTCTCTTGCGTACTCTAACCTCTCCCCCCCAATTATCTCGGATCTTGCCATGCCCCAGATTAACGTGACTGCATAGAATCTTCTGTATAAAGTCTTACGGGCACATGTATTTCTTTGGTTAGGTGATTGATTCTGTGCAAATATGAAGTTTCAAGGAAGTATTGCAGAAATATTTTAATATAATGATCAAGGTTAAAGTTTTTGGACACACATAATGATACAAAGACAAAAGCAATATACCCCAGGATCATTTGGTGTTTGTAGCCATAGAATGAGTTTTGCAGCTAGAACCACAATTTAATGAAATTGAAAAAAACCTAAATACTACATATAATCCGCATTTTATATCACAAATTACGAAGAAAATGTGCATAATTCAGGCAATTCTTGCACAATATGAATCAGGCGAGTGCATAAATATCTTTAAAATAATGTATGTTTCAATTTGATATTCTCAACAATTTTACAACATGTATATTTATATATTTATGAAGGTTAGGAATCAATTTTCATTTTGATGTTAGCAAGCATATAAAATTATATTTGTTACTGTTAAAAGTTTAAGAGGTAATATTGTCATGTATATAGTTATCATTAGACTAGATAACCTTTAAAGATCTTCATAGCTGATAATCTTAGAAATTTACTTTTGCACGAAGTAATTAACATCCCCATTTTGCATAATTTATCCGGTGCTTGATTGATTGTGGTATTTTTAGCTATATCACCAAAGCGTCAAAATCATCATTACCATAAGGGGAAATCGATTGCAAATAATATTTTATCAAAAGTATTTCGGTAAGTTATTATCATGGGCAATTAACACGGCAAAATAGCTTAGTGGTAAAGGGTAGCATTCACACACAGAAAGCTGTGTAGTTCGAGTCCACTTAGTTTATATTTCTTTGTTTAATCTTGCAATGCCTTTCTACTATTTTCGCTTCAAAATGGCTGTAAATCTTTTCATGGGTGCACTGTCACGGCTAGTAAAACCGAACTAACAAGCCAACAAAAATAAATAGATTAAACAGCAAGGATATTCAAGACTTAATATAGTACGTTCAATTTCTGGACAATGTATGCAAAATGAGCTGGTTAATATTTTCAGACCATAAAAGATGACCTAACGTAATTCATACCTGAAATTGATCAACACATATAAGATGGTGTATAACGGCTACTTTTTGTAACAATTTTTCAAGAATTCATAAGAGGTTATTGTATATCATTCTCCCTTTTTTATAACAAAAATAACGGTATTGCTTTTTATATTCAGGGTTCTGTATTTGAGAAGGAGGAAGGCTTTAGCTCAGGGAAACAGGAAGCAGTTCGCATCTTGTACAAAACTGAATATTCTTCGTTTCGCTATGGACCAGAGGGCGATGAAATTGAGAATGACTGTGAAAATATCGCGGCAAACCTTTGGTTGTATGTAATCCATGTCTATGGGACTCCAGATGTAGAAGCAGATCTAATAGAGGAAGGTAATCATGACATTATTTATATACAAGCGTAAATAAATTGTTTTGTACAGAAATCTCTTTAACCCTCAAACACATTAAAATGGATTCATAGTGGCTAACTGTCATAAACTGGCGCCCTATTTTGCATTTGTATGCCCTTTATGGAAAGGCCTGTGGACACATGTAAATATACACTGAACAAAAGTTCTAACCTATCACCCTGAGTTTTCGCTTATACATGAAAACGAATAATACTAATAGATCCGACTTTAATTTTATTTCGAAGAGAATAACCACATTGAGAATAATAAAATTATAACATTTTCTATTTAAATAATACTTTATCGATATTTTTAATGAAATATTTTTCTGACCAGCCACTCACCTCTTTGATTGAGGCTCCAGCATTCAACATTCCAACTGCTACGGCACGATCCTGCATCGACATTCGTGCCATGTTTTATGTTTTTTCACTTATAAAGTTAACAAGGATTTATGCAATGTAAAATTTAATACTCACCACGCTCTGCACGAACATTTCGTGCCAAAATGTGTAAACCGCGCCCTGTCTCCCGCGCGAGTACATGAAACCGTATTAAATTATTTTTCTTTCCACAAATCGGTAGAAAATGACACAAAAATCACCTCTGCAAAATTTTATAAGGATCTATTGACCCGTTATAAAATAATCAAAATTTAAAAAGTGATCGGTTAGAACTTTTGTTAAGTGTATATTAAACATTGATCAGTTGAATAAATGAAATGCTTACTCATATTACAAATCATGATTTTTTGTTGTTACCATTATTACTAGATACATTAGAATTATGATGGTCCAAAAAACTATAATGTTGAGATGCGACGGTGTAACGCTGCTTTCATTTTGTCTAGGGTTTTAATTTGATCAGAACCATGGCAAAGAATTTTAATTAGTATGTGTTTTATTAACAGAGGACAGATATGAAAAGATATTACTGTGTTCTGCCAGAAGTGGCCATGGAAGTAGTGCATCAATAGCATCAAATACAGCAAGATGCAGATTCAGGTAATGAATCGTTGTTAAACAATGTTTTGATCTTTCTTCATCTCTGGTGATATAATATATCTAGAATTCATAATTAAAAGAATTCTTATTAAGCCAAAATTATATAAGCTTATTCACATATACATGAAATAGTTAATGTTATATTATTGTTTCTATGCCGGTACAATAAAAAGCATCAACTAACATTTATTTATATGATAATTTTGTAGTTTCATTTGTATACCACGGTATATAAACGCAATCACCTAGATGATGATGTATCATGTTAAATTTATCTTACCATAATGTGTTTCTTTTATACATGACACTCATGAATCAAACTTGAGTATTCAGTTTTTTCCCCTTAAAACAAGCGTGCCTTTCGTGCATTTTTACGGGCACCTAAGTAGTACAGACTAAATTAGTGTTTACTTTAACATTCTTGCAAACAGTGAACGAAATGTTATTGCAAGATCTGAGGAAAGAAGTGAAAAAAATGGTTCTGTTCCTTTTTCAGTAAACCTGTTGTACCTGGTGATGTCTACCATTGCCACTGGGATATGAAACTGTTAAACGAAAATATAGCAGAGAAGCCACCATCTCATGGTTTTATGAGCCTGAAACTTGTATCGAGAAATATAAATAAAGGTCACTTGTTTGTCTGTTTGTTATTTTGGTTGGTATGATTTTTGGAGATATATTGGTATAAGGTCCACCTAACAGGTTTACCTGGATAACTTTCCAGCAATTGTCAAATCTTCCGCAAGTGACCGACTACTCATCCCTTACAATTGTCACAATGGAATCTTTGTTGGTCATGTATTTGGAGGAATAAGTACCGAGTATGTAAGAAAGAATTAGACCAACATATCTGAGATATCTTGTATGCCAGTCACAACGACTACATATCGAATTATGAGGTTTTTGTCAATAAGATTTAAAATAAGAGAATTTTCATCATAGGGTTAGATAGTCGAAAACTCAGAATTTTCTCAGAGCAAGAATCAATAGCACTTGCATAAGTTTTCACTTTTCAGCATTCATCAAGAGCAGTTTTAAATTAAACAAATGATGGTTAATTCTGTATTTTATCATTTCATAATTTATTGACTTTTGAAAGATTTGCATATGTTAATGTTGATTTATATTGTAGACTACGGAAGCGTATCAGGGCCTACAGTTGGTGAGATGTTTTGCGCTAAGTCGACTTATTTTTATTTGCATTGATAAGATGTTTTTGCATTTCTCAATAAAATTTACTGACAAAGATGAGAAGCTTTTAGGCATTGCAACTGAATTTTCTCGATATGCTTAAAGCTTTTGTCTCTTCGACAAAAATCCTGTTGAAACTTCTTGATTTCACGACTTTGCTGAAATATTTAGTAAGACGTAAAGACGTTACTCGCATTGACAAATAGCTCACGTAATTCAACAAAGTTTTTTTGCAATGATTAAAAACTTCTACGTATTACGTATTAATCATTACGTCTTCATGGAATGTTTTATGTATTACGTATTAATCATAACGTCTTCATGAAGTGTTATTGGTCAAAACGAGAAGAAACAAGTTGACATGACGTAAAACTTTAAGATAAGTGGAGGCCCTGATAAGCTTCCGTAGTAGACATATATTCTTTTCAATAAATAGCTTAATGCTGGACAAAACGATTTACTTGAGAAGCTTAAATAGTTACATAATTTATGTTATTAATCTTAAAGCGACAAAATTTTTAATATGCCAATGCAAACACTAGTATGTGTATAAATATTTTTAATGAAAAAAAAAAAACTTTTATAGACCTACACGTTTGCATTATTTGTAGAATATCAGATATTAAATATTTCATAAAATTCAGCTCTTAATTTTCCAGTAAATTGATATAACCATTTTTTATCCCCCGCCGAAAAAGCGGCGGGGGATATAGAAATAGTCTTCGTACGTGCGTCCGTCCTTCCGTCCGACATTTTTGTTCGGAGCATATCTCGAAAAGTATTTGAGGTATCAACTTAAAACTTCATCGGTGGATGGAAACTTCTTAGGTGGATAGACCTCATTGAGGAGGAGTGCAGTGCATAAGAATGATAACTCTACCCTGCATAATTTTTGAGTTATTGCCCTTGGTTATTTTTCAAAATTAATTATTTTCCAGAGCATAACTCAAAAAGCCTTTGAGATATCAGCATAAAACTTCATAGGTGCATAGATCTCACTCAGAAGGTGTGCAGTGCACAAGAATGATAACTCTACCTTTCATAATTTTTGAGTTATTGCCCTTTGTTATTTTTCATACTTAATTTTTACCTGAGTGGAGCATAACTCAAATGTGTTTGAGGTGTCAACATGAATTGTCATAGGTGGATGGATCTCATTGAGGAGGAGTGCAGTGCACAGTGCATTCGGCGGGGGATGGCCATGTTGACATGGCTCTTGTTTTTATTTTGACCATCAACCCAACTATCAATTCTCCTGGTCTTTTTAAGGTTCACCTGATGAGGAAGATGTAATATGGGAGCGGAGCAGCGCCGTCCAAGAATATCCGTTCAGTTCAGTGATCGCCTTCCGGTTAAGTTTGCACGAGCGACAAGTATCACATAATTTGTTTGTTAGTTCTGTTGGAAACACGACAAAAGATGTCTTCTCGGTTGAAGGAAAACTTGATCCAGACATATTGTATTTTGAAATTGAATTTAGCAGCGGTGAAATTCAGGTTACACATGGGAGAAGATTGATAATAGCGCAAGGTACATTTTTATGCTATAATTAGTATTTTTGTGTCGTGTCTTTGAAATATAACGTTTTTTTTATTTTAGGTTTTAAACCGTACGTTAGGCTTCAATGCGAAGATAATATAAATCGATACCTTTGATCAACAACTGATTAACTCCTATTAGATTTAGAAAGACTGAACCCGTTACTGCATCTCAGAAAGGTCACGACAGTTTACAACCGTTTATAAATTTTTTTGCCCATATGTCCTTAGAAAACTTACAGCACGAATTAAAGATGTTTTACAATATCTTTCTTTAACGAAAATTAAAATTTATTTCACAAAAATTCAGAACCTATATATAACGAACTTATAAATGTCATTATTATCATATTAAAGTCCCTGTTATTAATGTATAGCATTAATCATGGCTAAATTCTAACACTCCTCGTGATTTTGTCACTATAGACAAAGAAGAAAAAAACAGTGTTAAACTGCCTATAAACACTGGTAAGGGAATACTTGTATATGCGGCTGTTATGTTTTCTCCCTCGATTATATAGTTTACAGAGCCTTTTAAAGCAACAATAAAAATCATTTTTATTTATATTGTCAGTTCTCATAATGTTTTCCTTGGAAACAATACTGAAATAATATCTCACATACACTAACGCCACATATTTGATACATATACAAAACGGCACCAATCCATATGGAACGTAATGACGTCATCTTAAGTACACAACTCATTTATAAACGCTCTAGAATGACGTCATTTCAAACATGCAAGAATGATTAAACAAACACTGATGTAAACACTATACAATCCAGTCTAAGACATAAGTTTTTATTGTTGAAAATTTGATAAAATAACATTTTTTTCCTATAATTTCCTTTGTTTAATAATTTCTATATATTAGAAACAGTACGGTGCAAAATCGAACAGCGTTATAAGAAAATCGGCACCCCGGAAGTAATCTCCGCTTGAAAAATTACATCAGTGATCTTCCTAATTTTATTTTGTTAGAATTAAAATAATATCCGTCTGAGCGGTGTTTATCGGCTATCTAACACCGGTTTTGTCGCTTTGACAACGCCTTCGTGGTCAATTCCTACGCATCAAAACTCCAAACCGGTGTTAAATAGCCGATGAACACCGCTTAGACCGATATTATTTCGTTATTAGATCAGGATTCCTGTAATGCCTTATGATCATACCAATTGAAATATGAACGATTTTGAGGTTTTGTGATACATTTAATTTCTAATAAAAAGAGAATTATCATCATGAATTGTTTTATTTTTTAAAGAACTAGGAAGCACTATTCTAATAAGTGGTTATCAATTTGACGACGAAGAGGCAACCATAGATGAAGCGATTACTGAAATCAGATCAAAAATAGATTTCAAACCTAGGCGGCTTCAGTATGGAAACAGTCCATCAAGTTTCGTCCTGGAATTCAATGAAAAAATAACAGATCAAAGTAATTGCAACTTATAGTCTAATAAAATACAGAAATAAAGATTTTGCAAATATTTAAAACTCTAATGTATTTTTAAATTGCTTAAATGTTTTTGTATTCACATTAGTTTAACTCTTTAAGCGTTTTCTTTATTTGTATAAAAAATCAAGGTTTTACCGGATTTTCATGATAATACTTTAATATATTTAGGAAATAGTGCACTATTGCATATGGTTCATGCGGCGCAGTAATTTAATGACGAAAGCTGCAGGTTTAAGTGATTAAATCACATTTTAATTCTAAGACATGACCACAGAAATATTATTGTACTACAGTCACAATTTTCTGAAAAAAAATATTGTTCATAAATAGAGCGGTATTTTATCGGAAAAAAGACGAAAAATAATAACTATTAACAAGTGTCAAACGATATATGTTTGACGCATGTATACAGTGATAGAACTATCAGATATGTTCCTTGGAAATGTGCTATGTTCAGCAACGAAACTGCGTATTTAACGGGGGTGGAGGAAGCAATAAGAACGTCGAGTGCATTGTTGTGAAATAACACAAGCTTAAGACTGTCTTTATTTATAATGTTTCTATAGGAAAATCCCGAATAGTGTTTGTTAGAAGATGCAATCTGAAATTATCTATTTTAATGAACTTTCAGGTCTAAAAGATATTCAAATTAATTTGAGGTGTAAAGTTCAGAGAATATATGAAACAAAAAGTGTCCAAGTCCTTTTAAATGGCGCCGACAATAAAAACGATGTGAAATATTTCTTAGAAGCTCATTTTACCAGGCCAAAAGCTGGTGGTGGATCTATTAAAAGTATAGAGTTTGAAAAAAACATTCCGGGTTGTTGGGTGATCAATTTCGAAAAGAGTGAAAGTAAGTATTGTAAAACATTTAATGCCTTTGCTTACAGAATATCATAAAATATTGTTTAGTTATTAATTCGGTTTTAATCGAAGCTTACTATCAAGATCTCTTAACATAATAACTGATCAAAGGACAGGATTTCCATTTCTGAAGGCACTTGGAAATGAATTAATTGTGCTATGTCAAAACATGTTTCACAATTTACATGATTTAGTGTTGTTTTTTCAAAGTCCTTCAGGTTTGATGAAAAACATAATTATATAAAAAAATATTTACCTCTGTTCAATTATTAACATAATTTTAATTAAATGCTAAAGGGTCTCAATACTCTTTCTTTACTTTAAGCTTTATTGGTTTACAAATTAACATAAGGTTATATGGTTACTTATAGACATCCTATTAAATGAAATTTCAAATGATTAGTTGCACGGAACTTTTGGATGAAGAACAAATACAGAATAAACATTGATGAACAATACGTCAAAGCTCTTGTCCAACCAATGTACAAAGAACTTGGGTTATCGGTAAATGGTGGTAAAAAACCAACTCAAGACCTGACGCCTTTGGTTGTTGATGTAGACAAAAACAAACTCAGGTAGGATATATGGATATTTAAAACATTTAAAGCTTCTTGATTATTGATGCACTAGAATATATATAAGAAGAAATAATGATGGTCCGAACCAATGAATTTTGATGATATCAAATTTCGATTAAGGTACTGAAGTATGGATTGTCATCATCAAGCAAACAAGTATGCAATTGTCTATACGCAAAGAAAAATAGTTTTATGCTTCTTAAAGTAGAAAATAAACCTTCAAATATATGATGACGTTAGTTATTTACGTCATGCAACAGCATAATGTACCGCGCTCAAGTATTAATATTGTCTTACTCCGAAATTATTTATTTAATAATTATACCTCAACACATAGGTGTATAAGGTGCATAAGTACACATGCTGTACAACATTCTTATAAACTTTCAGGCCTACAAGTCAAATACTTTTTGAGCTATGCATGAACAAGTTGAAAATTGCAAACTTATACTACTGTAAGTCAAGGGCAATAACTCTAACAAAACTGAAAGAAATCCACATGCAAAGTCGCAGGTGCATAGCTTCACAGTGTTGTTGATCATTATTCCTGTGATTTAGCGATGTTGATCGTTATTCCTGTAAAGTTGGTTGATTCTAACTCAAGGAACAAATAACACAACATAATGAAACGGTTTTTACTACGTCAAGGGAGATAACTCTACAAATACTGAATAAATCCACAAGCGAAACTTAAGGTGCACAACTACATATGCTGAGCAACCTTCCCGTAAGGTTAAATGACTCTATGTCAAATCCTTTTTGAGTTACATGCAACACAAGTTTTGAAAATTGCAAAATTTTACGAAGTCAAGGGCAATATCTCTAAAAATACTATATAAATCCACACGAAAATACCCAGATACACAACTACATATGCTGATCAACAGTCCTGTAAAGTTTCATGACTCTATGTCAAATCGTTTTTGAGTTACATGCGACACAAGTTGAAAATTGCAAAATTTTACTAAGTCAAGGGCAATAACTCTACAAATACGAAATAAATCCACACGAAAATACCCAAGTGCACAACTACATATGCTGATCAACATTCCTGTAAAGTTTCATGACCCTAGGTCAAATACTTTTTGAGTTACGTGCGACACAAGTTGAAAATTTCAAATTTTTACTAAGTCAAGGGCAATATCTCTAACAATACTAACAATACTTTTTGAGTTACGTGCGACACAAAAGAGAACGGAAGGACGGACTGACACGGGTAAATCTAAATGCTCGCCACTAAAGTGGGGGCACAATAATGTTGATTTCCTCTCTTTAAATCATCAACCCGTTCGCGGCATTTTCTTCGAACTTAATTGTTTATCTCAATACGATAATGTGCCGAACCATACCGAAGACGTGTCATCTGAATGTCAAACTTTAGCTTGGAGGTTCAAAACTATACAACTGCTGTGTCGGCTCAGATTTATATCACGCATAAAGTTCAAAAGCTGTGCCCGCCCTAAAACTACCTTTTGGAAATTTCTTAATAAATTTGATTAAAATGTTAAACTCAACTTGGCGATATACAGAACCTATGCTGCGACAGCACTGGCTCAATGGCAAGGTTACCTTCGACGGCCAAATGTCAGACAAATTTATTTCAAAATTATTAGTTCAAATATTCAGCTCATGTGCACCTCCAGGTCGCTGTGTCAGCTCACCTGAAGGCCCATTGAGTCATTGGATATTTTCATGACAACACTTGATTTCCTTACTTTTTGATCGACTTACTTCAAATAAAGCTGAAATCTTCACCTTCAAAAGCAATGCTAGTTTTAGATGGGCTTTCATTAAATCTGGAATCAGTCACATGCATCGATGCAATGTATTAATGACTGCCTACTTTATTGAATGGTTATCATGTTTATTACTTTTTATTACATGCTTTTCGGTGGTTTATAGAAATATATCAGTGATATAAAACTGGTAATTTCACTGTTAGAAACAGTGAAATTACCACTTTGATAATTTCACTGTTTTGAATTTAAGCCCCTTATGTTGTTTCAGTGAAATACCAGCGTGCACAGTACTGGGTACCAACTTAATGACGTGACGTCGTAAATGACGTCACGTTCTATTATTATTTGGCGCGCTTTTCATTCAGTATTAGGTATAATGTCTTTTTAAAACGTTTCAATGCATATAATAAAAAGAAAATTTGTTTAGTTTAGTGTAAGATCGAAATATATTTCACCTTGTGAACACCAAAAGTTCATATTTCACTCGTGGCTGCGCCACTCGTGAAATATACCTTTTGGTGCTCACTCGGTGAAATATATTTCGATCTTACACTGAACTAAACAAATATCCTCTATATAAATAACCAAGAAAAAGATGAAGGTTTTTTTTATTAATCAGGTTTATCAAGTCAAGAAATGCAGAAAAGAAGTCATTTGTTGGTACTTTAAATAAAAATATCAAAGTTGACGTGTGTTGGGAAGAACAAGAACACACTGACGAATTCGAGGGAGAAGATCAACAAAATCCAGTCGCTAAGGAGACTTCAATAACTTTTAAGTATAGTGGATCCAAGTCGGATTGGAAAGAGACAGCAAATTGGAAAGATATAACAAAGAGAGTGGTGTCAAATTATTTTAAGACGGCTATATATGAATTAACATTTAATTGTGATGACGACATAACCGATCAATTAAATGATCTCAGGGGACAATATGAATTTGAATATGAGGAAGATCTAGATAACAATGACATTACTCTATACGGGTCAAATGAAAGTACACTAAAAGAAGTTGCTAAAAAGTCTGTAACGAAAGTGCTATTTCCAGAGCTTGTCGACAAACCTTTAGAAATCACGGTACCAAAATACTTAGCGTTAGACGCGGAAGGTATACTGAACAACGTGAAAACTGATTGTCGTTTTACATCTTTCAAAGTAAATACAGAAACAGGAAAAATCACTCTAACGGGTCCAAAAGATGAAGTGCAAAATGCTCGGCTTTGTATACTACAGTTTGCTTTACAACTTAAATCTGTTGAACTGCTTATAGAAGAAGAACATGTTATGTTTTTGCAAAAAGGAGGTCTAGAACAACTGAAGGAACAATTCCGTAAAGAAAACTTGAACCATAACCTCACTTTATCTGAAAAGAGAAACGCAATTATTGTTTTGACTTACATAGAAAATGAAGACATTGAAAAGAAGAAAAACAAGATGTTAGATGTCATTGGAAACTTTATAAAAACAATTGAAATTTGTGTTGACAAAGAAGAGCCCTTGAATAATTTTGCAACAGCACAATGGAAACAGTATAAGGGAGAGATTATTGAGAAAGCAAATGGTCTCGTTGTTATTTTTGAACCAGCACACAACAGTACTATAAAGATTATTGGTACAGACGAAACAGTCAAAGTTGCAAAAGTAGACGTAGATAATTATTTGAAAGGCCACAAACTTGGAACAGTAATGATGCGCGTGCCAGTAGAAATTGCAATGTATCTAGACGAGTTTAAGGGTGACAATATTCGGGATGATATCGAATGTGGAAAAGACAGCAATGGTTTGTACACTGGGAAACTTTCTCTTAAATGTTCATCCGACGATATAAGCCGTTTGCATAAATCTATAGAAAAAAACATCCAAGAAATAAAGCAACATTGGTTCGTAATGAAAGAGAAATGGATAGCAAGTGTTATCCAGGACCTTGTAGACCTTAAGACCTTATCACATAATGAACGATTTTTATTGGATGCATATATTGGACACAGTCTTGCAGCATATGGAATTACGGGAATTTCTGTGTTTTCTAAAATCGGAACAATCATCCAAGTCAAGCGAGGTGACATCACCTTTGAGACAACAGCAGCGATAGTTCATAGTACAAATGGGCATGTTAAAGCATTTGAGAAAGGAATAGGCAAATGCCTGCAAAATATTGGTAAACATACGATCTATTTATTTTGTATAGATTACATTGCAGGGCTCTAGGATTATTCTTTGCCATATTTATGATACTTAGTACCTTAAGTGTTTGTTTCTTGCTATGAACAAAAAAAAACAAAACAAAATATAAACATAGGCAACTTTTGGTTACATGTATAGCCAACTTTTTTTAAGAACACAACTGAACAAGTCATATGAATAAATAATATTGTTCAGAAAGTTTGATTTTTATTTTATATTACAAATAAGGTGGGACTGAAATCAGAGATGAACTTTTACGAGCTATTGAAGAAAGAAGATCAAAAATTGGCGATATTTTGATTGGGCACATCAATGCCGATACGCATGAAGAAAAGGTCATTCAAGGTCAAGACAATGAAGTACAAGAAAGAAATAATAAACCTTCCAATAGCGGCTTTAAAAATGGTGATCTTGTATTGACGGAGTCTGGTCAACTTCGCTGTTTAAAAGTCATTCATGTTTTTCCTCCAAGATGGATAGATGGTAAACAATCAGAAGAAAAGGAGATGAAGACATTAGTTCGAAAGATATTACAGGTATCAAAACAACTCACTTAAACTTAACTTTAGTTTTTACAATATACATATATGTATGACTTTATAAATTTTAAAGATAAATACGTATGCACAAATAACCAAAGTATTTGACCAACGAGTTTCTTTATCTAAGTCGTTGCAACAACACAATAACTTAGTTTTAACTGAAAGGTTCAATACAGTGTGTACATCTAACATATCCTACTTAATATTACTATTTCCATCCTGGCTGTTCATACAACATTTCTAAAAAATTGGTGCTGTAAATTTTAGCATGGATATTGTACATGTATAAACAAAATGAAAAATGTCATATGATATATACCAAATACACCATCTACTTATAGCGTAAATGTCGTACAGTCACATATGTCTGCTTTGGGAAACAGGCGTATCTTGCAGACTTTTCTGTCAAGGTAAAAGAAAAAGTAAAGGGACAGTTAGGTTCTGAATTTGTATGAATAATAAAGATTTTCCTTCTACGATAAACATTACTATATCTCAATTTAAGAATCACTCAAATTATCTTTTTTTATCACGAAATGCATTTATTCTGCAGACATGTCAGGACAATAAACTTGCATCAGTGTCTCTATCGGCGATTGGATGTGGCGCTGGAAAGTATCCTCACGATAAAGCAACGTCATATATTGTAGAAGCTGTTGCGGATTATGTTGAAAATGTGAGCAGTATTCTTATTATCGTTAACGTAATATTATATTAATTTAATTTCATTCTTTAACTTTATGATAAAAAAGTGTATTTGGATATAATGATCAAAGTTATAAGCATTAATGCTTTACACTTGTTTTGTAATGCGTTTAGTAACTTTTGAGGTGACATATTAAACAGAAGATAACACCGCACGGACAAACAAATATTTCAAACAACTTGTTGGTCTTACACCGTCACAAAAGTTGAAATGTTGCTAATTGCCAACATCAACGATCAGCTGTAAAGTAAAGTATAACTTGACATAGCATAACTAGACAAGTTATGGTTGTGCGTAAAAATAGTGCCCGGTTAATTCCTTTATGTATCAAATTCATAGATTCCTTCGACTTTTAAAAATTGATTTTTAAATTTGTTTTTTTAACAAATTTTCCGTGTAATTAAATGACCTTTTTATTTATTTATCCTGATCAACAGTCAATATTGCCATCATTTAACAGATGCTTTGATAAAAGAATCGACTTATTTCAGAATAAAGAAACGGTAATCAAGGAAATAGTGCTTTGCGATAGTTCAGAAACTGCAGTGAAGAAGTTTACAGAAGCTCTTGGAAAACTCAAAAGCTCTCACTGGGTTTTCTTTGAACATGGGAAGCCTTTACAAGTGGATGATTTCCTGACGTCATGTAAGCTTGTTTTCTATATTGCATGAGCCTTGTATCTTTTATAAGTTTTTTAGGATTTTCATGCTCGTTACAACAGGTGTCAGTAATGTTATAAAGTCGTCACGATTTTAATCTTACTTTTGTTCTTTTATTGATTAGTTTTAGTACTTATGTATTGCTTTAATACCTTCGACAAACGAAGTTTAGGGATTATAAAGGCGTCTGCCTGTCTGTCGGTAAAGTTACACAGATGAAACATCATAAATTATAGGTCGTGTTAAAATGTTTCTTTAGAAAACTTATTTTTCTGGAAATCTAAAGGTGGCGGGTGTAGATATTAATTACCTTTTAGTGCTAGCGCTAGTTTGGAGTTGATATCATTTTAGCCCTCGCTTCTGTTATGAAGAGTGTTGCATTGTTTGTAAGTTTCAAAAATTGCAGGCATTCAAGTTTAGTCAGCAGTGTTTTTGTGTTTTTTTGCATCAGTTACTCTCTGGGATTTTTAGAACATAGAAGTAATTAAAAGTTGTTTAGAGACGGTTTGTATGCTTCTTATGTTACAGCAATCAGGAAAGCCGAAAATAAGTTAGTGATCCGACCAAGCTCAGGTCGTGCACAACTAGAGCGTCCAAGAACTGGCTTAAAATGGAGAAGAGAGGTAATGTTAGGACACAATTGTTTTAATAGAAATCTAATAGACATTTTCTATATAGGCATACAGTTTTTCATATCACAGAAGAACGCCGTTGAAACCAAAGCTTTCAGACAACTTTAAAGTTTTTTTTATATCTATCAAATATTTGACCGTTTTAGTCATTAATCGACCATTACACGTAAGATGTAGTAAAATATATATAAATAAAATGTTCTAAGTGTATATTTTACAATATATATTAGCAAAAGTCTGTTCTTGACTTAATTTTGTAACTTTCTTTTTCAAATGCAAGAATGCTTATGGTTTCAAGCGTGTAAAACAACATGACATAAATAGATCTACATCTAATGAAGAAATGAATGATTTATTTAAAGGTAAGGATGAACAATAACGTAATTAAAAACCAATAAAATTGAAATAGAATATATCTCCTTGCTATAATAAGTTTGCACAAGCTCACTGCAGGATTCTGATTAAAATGATCAAAACAAGAACTTCTTTACGATGTTATAAATTAAGTTTGCTTTTAGACTTGGATTTTTTCCAAGATTTGCTATGAGATATATAGATTTATCAACAGCAAGTTTGGATATTTTTCAGATGGACTTCCATACAAAATCCCTATATCAGACAACATGAATCTACATGTTGTGAGAGCTGATTTGACCAAACAAAAGGTTAAGTAGTTACATTATGTTTATAGAAATCTGGAAAATGGATTATCCCTATGAAGCGGCGAAACAATAATATTATATGAATCTTATACAGTCGGTTGGTTGTGTCTTTTAATTAAGAAATAATATATCCCAAACAGTGATTTTATCGCTCAATAACATCACTGTTTGGAGTTCGGATGAAAGGAATTATAACACGAGGGCGTTGACCGAGTGATATAATGATGCGCATCCGAACGACAAACAGTGATGTTATCAAGAGATACAATCACCGATTTGGATATGTTATTTCGATTCTAACACGACATTAACAATAAATGTTGCTTACCTGATAATAAGATAAATTGCACCTGATTTGTTTCGGCACCTATTTTCAGCGCGTCGCATTTTTATAGGTTACGTCACATGTATAAAATGATTTCGTCACAAGTCTAAATATAGAACGTCAACAGTGATTTTGTTGCATAATAACACACACTTTCGGTTCTTCTTTGTTCAATAGGGAAAAATGCGGGTCGTGTTAGAATGAAATATAGTGTATAGTGCAATTTAAGTCATACATTCATCTTATGTCTTTTTTTTTTTTTTAGAAATCAACAGTTATTTATACTTAATTTACTTGATTGCAATTTTTGCAGTGAACCCTGTTAACATTAACAAAGGTAAGAACGTGTGAAAAAGATTCTCCTTTCTTTGTATTTTGAATATTAGGTTTAAAGTTAAAGGGATGTCAGTATCAAAATACAAAAAAATGAGCTGCAAAAGTATATTTATAGTTTGGTGGCAAAGGCTATTGACTTCGCTTTTACCAACATTCAAAAGATAAAATATCATTTGCATTCCTCATTTATAAGACTATTTATTTTTTGATTAACTACAGGTAGACGCCATTGTAAACACAACGTCAGAGTTCCCCAATTTAACGGGTGAAATATCGAAAGCGATATTAAATGCTGGCGGAAATACAATTAGGCAAGAATGCCAAAACTTGGATACGATTTCAGAGGGTGAAGTCAAATCTACTGGAGCCGGTCTGTTGAAATGCAAAAAACTCATCCATGCTAAGATTCCGATGAGGTGGGATTCACAAAACGGAGAAAAGGTAAGATATGTCTGTTCATATAACTGTTTTTGAACATTTCTGTAGCTTATGCATCTTCTTTTGTTTTGACGATTACTTATGTAGAGGGGAGTTATTTGAATGTGATATGTTTACGGAAGAATTAATTCATTTGTTTCGAAAAAATGAAGCCGACAAAATCAATCAGAAAATGAACTGCATTTTCTGATTGGAAAGAATAAAATCATGACAAAGCGCAAGTTTGTAAAACAAGCGTCAATGTTTTCTTCTTCCAGTTTGTAAGTGATCTGATATCAAGATGTCTTGCTGAAGCAATTAGTCATGGCTATTCTTCAATTGCCTTTCCTACAATAGGAACGGGACATTCAGGATTTCCTGCTGACAAAGTGGCAAATGCTATGGTGAAGTCAATATGTGAAATTGAAAATGACAAATGCCCGCTTAAAGATATTTTCATTGTCGTTTATTCGTTGGACGATGGCATATGTAAGGTAAACTCATTCATATCAAATGCAAACCACCAGTTAACCAGTCAATCATGAAACGCTCCATACCTACTTGTATTGTTTCTGTGCATAAAAGAATTCAAATTCTATAGCGCGATTCAAACAAAATGTTAAAACAGCAAATGTTGGATATGGCAACAAATGACCTTACATGTTTAAATTTAAAAAAAAATATTATGTAATATAAATCAAAAATATATACGTGCAGACACATTAACGAATACATGTACATAATGAACTTCTTTAAAGATGATAAAATGTTGAAGATGTTATTATTTATCCTTATGAAAATGAGTATTAATTGCCCTACAAAATGATTTTCCCTATCTTTTACGAAGATATTTGAAGATGTTGTTCCGCACTGTTTCAACAGCGTCGCAAGTCACGGTACGGGGATGACCATAAGCAAGAAAGGTAATAAAACAGTATTCAGACCTTAATATCTACATTTAGTGTTTTGTGCTTATTAGAATGCCCGTATTTATTTGCACCTGATTGATTGATGATATCGTTCATCACGTGTTGGAGACAAACAGTTAAACAACTGACACCTATGACGAATTTCTGAGGAACATTTCATATTTGAATGTAAAATAGAGTCAAACCACTGAAGAAAGCCCAACATAGAAAACTTGAAAATGTTGCAGGGTCGGTTTGATTGTATTGTTAAGCGTTTCGAGAATGTTTTACAGACTTAGATTGTTTGGTGGCAAAATCTGTTCTATCTTAATTATTTTGAATTAAAGGTTCAAAGATGACGCCGAAACATAAAACTGTCAGATATGTTTCACCACCGTCGTTTGACAAACATTCGGAGATAGATGACGTCGTCGTTTTTAAAATAGTATCAAAAACAAGCGGAGAAAAGATTCAAAAGAAAATTCAGGACATAGTTAAACACCAACTGAAAGAAGAGACGTTGAATTTCCAGGAACTATCAAACGAAAAGACGCTTACAGAAGTTGAGGTTGTTTTTCATCTTATGTATGGATGTCATAAATAAAAAGATATCAAATTAAATACCATGCACACAAGATTAGTTTACGGATATATCGGTCATTGTCATGTCAAAAGTAAGACATAGATGCTAAATGCCTAAGACACAATCTATATTATTTAAGCACACATTGCCGCGCATCCTCATAAAGTGACACTCTTTTAAACAGTAAGATCATACGCATCGTATGGTTAAGATAAAGTTAAAAAATTGAAACTTGCAATAAATGGAGAGTCGCTATTTTTATATATATGCTAATAAAAAATAAATACAGACTATATTTTAAAAGAAATGTTGAAAACAATAAGTCAGCCGGAATAAATTATACGATGCCAATTTGATAGTGAATAATAACCTGCAAAATACGAGTATATGTACAAAAAAATTAAAAGTACATCAATCTTTTTTTATAGGAGCGTACATTGAAAACCTTGGAAATGAGTTATGGCGTCAACATTGAGATTGATAAAAAATCAAAACTAGTAAAGATTTCGGGACTCTCGGATCGTGTGAGTGAATGCCATTTTAAAGCAGTTGAATTGCTAAGGGACACATTTCCAAAGATGCGCTTGAAGTCAAGGAATATTAAAACAATCGCTGAGACAGTGCAGTGGTATTACGGAGATGGTACATACTACTATTCCTATGATAATATATAAATTTGCAATATCGTTTTACTTTTATGTTTATTTCATGTTGTCGCAGTATATAGAACAGTATACACTAATAACACAAGGGTTACAACCCTTTAAAATAGCATATTAATGTAACATATCTGATTTTTTTACACACCATTAGTTTATGTGATAGTAGCCACCATGTTGCTGACTTTAAATCACTTGCCTATCATCGCTGAGTTTAATCCTGTCAGCGACTATGATTTTTTTTAATGCGAGGAAGCCATTTAGTCAGTGGTTGTACTCAAGTCCCCTTTTATGTCTGAAATAATGTATTTAAGGGGATCTGAGGTCTTGAAAGTCGCAATAAAATCTTAACAGTGACGATGTAACTTTAAAATAAAACAACCCCCCCCCCACACAACAACAACAACAACAGATGTTGATCATGTTCATTTTTACTTATTACTTACATTACTTTACTGTGTGTCACACATGACAAAATGCATGGTTTTAAACCTTGAGCTATAAACAAATTTATTTGTTTCTTTAAATACATTCATTTTCATATTTCAAATGCAGCTGATGGAAATTCTCTCCCTGTTGATGTCATGGATAATTATGAGATACACATGCAATATCTGCATGGCAACGATTTCACTTATGAGAACCAATCAGAGAATAAAACGTACAAAGTGCTTATCAATGACTTAATGGAACACCCAATAGATGACCCGAGAAAGAAAAGGCGTCTTTATCTTAGAACAAAAGTGGATGAAAGTAAGTTCAAACAAAGAGAAAGAAGACACAAGTTTATTTATAAATCCAAATATCAAAACAGTAGTTCAGAATAGGATAACTGGACATTTACTTGACAAAATAAGTGGCTTTACATAAAATGCATGTAATAAAGGTTTAACAGACTTAATCAAATCGAGTCTGCAATTTTCATGTACTTTTGCTGCATCAAATGCTTCCGAGGGATCACCTTTTTCCAGACTATTACCTGTATAGAAAATAAGCAAAAGAAACTTGCTCTACTATCGAAGGTTAGTGGTAATTAGAAATAAATAAAATATAACATACCAAATAACACTTCAGGCAATAAAGTCAATACAAAATATCTTTACAATTGTTACATATCAGTAATGTTTTTCAGTGTTTTCAGTGTTTGCACAGTAAATGGACATCTTAATTCCCTACTGGTGATTTGCTTGTAGTCAAATTCCATTCATTGTTTTTGCTTAGTGAAACATAGTGCAAAATGAAAACATAACAATTAACTTAAAGGTATATCATGTACAAAAATCGTCCGTCCTAAGGATTACAATATTACAACTTGTACATTAGTTAGTGAGTACTTTTGATATATTATATACATGTATTTCCAGATATTCCCCTGCCTGACAATTGGACGATTGCACTCGACGAAAATAAAAAAATGGATCAAATTAAACTAAAAGAGAGTGATGCTGAATTCAATGACGTAAAAGACAAATTTATCAGGGGAGGATGTAAACCGAAAAAGATCGAAAGTGTAAGCTGTTGTTATTTGCTGTGTCGACATATATGTATATATCTCAGAAAAATGGATGGAAAATTACGGGTTGAATTAGACATTGAACTACATTGTATATTATACACAAAACACCATATAAATTAAAAATATGTCAAATTTAACTCAGATCACCATGACTTCAAGTTAAGAATATCATTTATTTTCAAATTAGCTGTTTACTTGTATACACTTAAATAAAAAATTTCAAACTAAAGATACGCATCAATTTGTTTACGCAATACTAAACGTAGTTAATATCTACTTATTTTAAAGAAAAACGATTAATAATGTATTGAGTCTGCATTGGGTTTTATAAATGGACAAACATTTTGTTAATTTGCCTATATGAGATCACATTGTTTCATTTAGAAATGTATTGCTATAACAATCTTACATCGGCTACCGGTACAGACCAGAATATTTAGCTCGAGGGTAACTGTGTACGGTGGTAACGAGGTTTTGCCGAGTTTCCGCTTAACAGTTACCCGGGAGCTAGATATTCCCTTCTTTGACGACAGCCGGTGAATATTTTGGAAAGACATTGAGAAAACTAATATTTTCATGAAGCACTTTGTTCTTATATATAGTAGCGTTTGAATTTACAACTGTATCCATAACGGAAACACCATCCTATAGACGCAATTCATTTATAAAAGGCACGCGGGAATGACGTCAGTTAAAGCATGCAGCTTATTTTACATGGGGGTGTAAGGCAGGTTTTTTTTAGCACCGGTGCAAACAGTTAATAATCCAATCCTGTCTGTGGACAAGAAAGAAATATCTTCAACTATGTTGTTTTATTGAGATACGTTACCCGTTGTTACAAATTCTTTTTTAATCTATGTTTAGATATCCAGGTTAGAGAATAAATTTTTGTGGCAACAATACCAAACTAAAAAGAAACAAATTGAGTCTCAAAATCCTAAAATACAAAATGAAAGACAGCTCTGGCACGGAACAGACGTTGATACTGTTCCAAAAATTGTCAAACATGGATACAACCGTAGCTTCACTACAGGTAATACGTTTGTGTTCTTCTTTTTGATTTTTCCTTTTTCTTGTTCAACCCTGTTTTATATGATGCTTTAATATGTACATGCTTAGCTTTTAAGATACTTTTCTTTTTTCTTTATGAAACGTTACATATATAGTCATTTTTTGCACACAGGTGAGGCTACTTGAAAGGATGGTTTTTAGAATATTTTTAGGATATGCTACGGAGCGGACGTATAATATCTTTACCTTTCTTTCGACTCGGGAAAGAGGCAAAACAATTTCTTCTGTGGAATCTTTTTAGATAATCAGCCAAAGCACATGTTACTGCATGAAATGATTACAAAATTGAACACATTATCAGCGCAAAACTTGAAATTGTTAGATACCTTATCTTACAATAAAGCGGACAAAAATATACAAACGAGCCCTCACACCAAAAAAGAGATCATAGCCTTGACATGGCTTTACTGTTTTTGTTGATAATGGATCTTTTTACTGAACTTTAAAAACATTTATTCAGTCTTTAAAACATGTAATTACTCATATTTTTAGTTTGTGCGTATGGACTGGGAGCATACTTTGCTGTTCAATCAGCATATTCAGACAGCGACAGATATGCTAAACCGGATGTGAATGGTGTCAAACGTATGTTTTTAAACAGAGTCCTGGTTGGTGTTTCATGTCTAGGAAATTCATCGATGGCAGTACTCCCTCAGAGACCAGGAGTTACCTTCAATAACTTTCCTGTATGTTACGATAGTGCGGCTGACAGTAATGGCAAAACACCAGGCATATATGTGATCTTTCATGATACCCAAGCATACCCTGAGTACTTGATTGAATATTCTTGATCTCTTATTTTTTTACAGAAAAAATAGATGTTTCTTTTTTTATTTTGCCATCCGTCCCTGTTTTCACATTACACTTTATATGAAACATCATGTTTATCTTATCATGAGTTTTAAGACGTATACCTCTACGCAATCATAGCACTATTTCACTTTTTTCGTGCATTAGCACCTACAAAAAATAAGATCTTTACTGCGTCCTCGTGCTTCACGTATGTTTAAATGAATTGGAACATATTTTCAAACATATATATTGTGCTACTTACAGATAGGTTTGACGTTTTCATTTTAGTTTTAAATCTAAAAAGAAGATTGTAACACATTATTAATAACATTTTATACAGATGTTTTTCAAAGTTCATGATTAGCCTTTAAAAATATGGACATTTTTATGTCCTAGAAGCGAAAACTACTTGACCAAATCTGTCTTTATTATATTCTTTTAGAATCGAAATCATGGTACACTAAATGGTTGTGTACGCAATATAATTTACATTTTTGTTGCAATTTATCTTAGCTTCCATTAATTATTTCAAAGCCGCTCTTTTTCCTAAGTATTTCACAGGAAGGAAGACTATGCAGAATCAAAAACTTACTGTATTATTTACAACTTTATCCTGAACCATTTTTTCCTGCATGTACAATAATTTTCTAAAAAATCATTATTGAAAGATAAACTAACAATAAACAGTCACTGTATACTGTCGCTTAGGTTTCATTTTGTAAGTTGCCCCTAGCCTATTGGGTCATATCATTTATGAAATACGGTTTTAGCTGGAAGATTAAGCAATTAATAACCGACCCAAAGGTTTTTGTCTGTCATGTATACAATAACAGCCTCAGAACAGTTCTCTAATCAATTGATCTGTTTAATGCTTTCTGTTCATATTATTTTCTTTATCCGTATTTTATCAATCAGTTTGTCTCCATTTTGTTATTGCAGATATGGGCACTAGACTTGCTTAACATGTCAAATATTTATGCAGTGTACATAATGTCAAAACTGTGTTTACGAAAATCTCTGTCTAAAAAACCCTGCAAATAAAGGCCAATTTCGATTACTCTTTTTTGATGAAATGGAATAAAGTATTTTCACAAATTTTACTTATATTCCTTTATGAACACTAATAATGGCTTTGTAAATGATAACATTTTGATGTTTTAACATTTGTTTCTATAAGTTCAATTTCGATTCTTATCAATATGTTAAACTACTTATTTCTATGTTATTTATTTGAGTAAATATTTCTCTCACTGTCGTGCATTCCTGCTCTAGTAATAATTTTTTTATCTGTTAAAAACGTGTTTTATATGTCTCAATTTTCAGCTACAATATAATAGATAACTTTTGTGTCTAACCGCAATTTGTTATGTTTAAATTGATAATACTGGTCAACAATATCAAATAATATTGTAACACAATGATAGATTTTATTCCCCAGCAGTATACGATAAAATGGCATATATACATCAATATCGTCAAAAATACATTTACTTAAAGAGTAGATGGAACCGGAATTATTTTGTACTTATTAAGTTGACAGATAATATCCGTTGCCTTCAGCTATTTTTAGGAAACGTAATTTGCTTATTTGCAAATCCGTCGGTGCATATGTATTCCGTACTACGTTAGAAACTCTTAAAGACCAATTCAATACGCCAATCCAAACCGCGACCATGACATGCGGGGCTCTCGCGGCCATGACCTTTAAGTAATAGCTTTGGACCTTATATTACTATAATATGAACCTCTAAACGAATTTCCAACGAACTCAGACAAATATCGTAACAATTGGCTCAAAAAATGATTAATTTACTAAAAGTCTTACACGTTATGTATAGAAAGGAAATATCGCCGATTAAAGAAGCGACCATGTCACGCGGGCCTTTCACAGCCATTTTTATTTGGTTTGAGGTGTGGTCTTCAAAATGATTATATTGCTTTTCGGTACGAATTTAAACAAAAAGAAAAAATCCATAGCCGACCGTTACGACACCATTTGCTTGATGCCCTTGCGCATTAGCAAGTGCATGGTTTGAAGGTTCTTCCTAACATCCATATAATACCCAAAACTCTTACTCATGGATAATGGCAGCGAGATGTCCGGTCGCTTTTTGGATTGTTTATGTTGTCTTTCTGTATATAATGTCTAAGAATTTTCGTACAAAAACATCATTTTGTGGAGCTTATTGTTTCGACATTATTTGGTGATTTCGTTGCAGCTTAGCCGTTAGATTAGCATTTGCATCTTTTTTTTTTATAGCAATATAAGCACAAAGCTGTAATTAAAGAGACACTTTCTTAAAACGCAGCATTGTCTAGGACCAACCTTTACGTCACAATTTGACTGATTCCAGTGCGGAAAAGCCATTGCATTTGCGTTTGGAGGTTATTCTTTATAGCGATTTAATGCCCAATACTGTAATGCAAGGGAAAATGCCCCATGAGGCCCATGTGGCATGTCGACCATTTTCTCTTTCTGTATATAAAGGTTTAAATTACTTTTTTCATGAGCCAACCGCTATTTTTCTAATGCCGTTGCAGATAAGCTTGTTTTCGTTTTTAGTATCGGCGTTCTTTATATGACGCTTTCGGAATTTTTGTAAAATAAAAACCCATTTACTTGAGCCAACCGTTATGATTTGTCTGATTACGTTTCAAATAATCGTTGCATTAGTTTTTTCTCTACAGCAATATTAATTCAAATGCTTTAATCTATGAATAATGGCCACGAGAGGTCTGCGTGGTATGTCGATATTTTCTATCTACAATATTTCTATCTATATATAAATTCTAAAAATCTTCGTAAAAGATCCATTTATTGAAGCCATCCTATATTATATCATGCGCCTAATTCCGTTGCGGATCAAATAATTTAATAACTTTAAGGTTTTTTATTTTAGAAATATTTTACCTAAAACTCTAAACGAAGAAGAATCGTCAATCGTTTCAATACAATTTGTTTGTTTGCGTTGCGGATATGTCATTGTACAAGTTTAGAAGTTCTTCATTACAGCAAAATAAAACACAAAACCATAATGCAAGGCAAATGACCGAGATAGGACCGCGCGGCACATTTGCGTTTTCAGATTTGCGATTTTTTCTTTCTGTACGAAAAAGCACCATTTACAGGAGCCAACCGTTACGGGCTATACCTCAAATATAAGGCCACTAGTGGTAGCCTAGGAGGCTTATAGAGGTGTAAGACAAATGGCCATTTGACTCAATGTCACGGAAATCAATCGTCACTGAGTAATTGCCCTTCGCCCGTTCTTCAAAACAAGCGTGTTATCTAGTTTCTAATGGTAAGCAAATTGATAGATTGAAAAATCGGTAAAACCTGATGGAATCTGAAAATGCAAGCCACTTTTGCACATTGATATATATTCAAAGAAGATAACAGTATAAAAGTGCAAGCCGTTTTTGCACCCAAAGTGATTAAATATAGGACAACAATCCGATTTTTAAGAATCAATAATAAAGACAATAAAAAAAATACTGGTTTTGTTGGAAAATCTACACTTTTTACTTTGAGTCAGTTAATTTAACGTTCAAGTATTGTTCTTTTTAAGTTTGATTTCAGTACCATTAATTTTTACTTTGGCTTTTGTGCAACTGCATTTCCATAACAACATCATTACTTATTAAAGCTTTGACTGTTGTACAAACATCTATATTATATTCGGTAACAAAGACTTAATTAAGTTATTGCACTTTACAATGGTTTCTAATAAATTTCGCGCAATGTCTTCGATAATCTTTTTATGTACCCTTACTGTAATATCAAAATAATAACATCATGTCCTGTCAATGCAAAAGTTCAACCAAAGGCTACTTCACCACATGGATTTTGGGTACTTATAATTAATTTGTCAAATTTGTACAGATTATTTCCTGTAATTTCATGCAAAGAATATTTTGTCGCACAATGGGTTTTCGTTTTAATCTCAGTTGTCTGCAGCAGCTACCGACAAAAACATGACTGATTTGTGAAGACTATAGGCATTAATATTTTGTATAATCAACGCAAATATATATAACAAGAAGAAAAAGCTGTTTACTAGACATTTCTTACAAGGAGGTCGCACGCTCTTCCTGGTCTCTTGATGGGGGCGCAGCTAAAAAAGATACCGACATGATTAAAATGTCGAACTTTGCTTAGACTGTTTCCACGGATACTCCGGGATATGTTCTACTCCTAATATCTTTGGTTGGGCGGAGCTACAGCTGATGCTGACATGATTGACGTATGAATATACAGTAGATCAATTGAAAAACATACAGATATGTTTTCATTATGAATGTCAAATAAAAAATCGTTTTTTGTTTGACACAAATTTAGATTTCTTACCTCACCATCACCCTCCTGAAATTATTACATGTACGTATATAGCTTCACTAGCCAGCACACCTTTGCATTCTAACCAGGTTTGACACTGTTGCATCTTCATCCTGATATAAACAGATTACTGGAAGCTGGAAAAGATTCGTTTTAGAAATCAGGTTATGGTTAAAAACACCCCAAAAACCCACATAATGTTACAACGCTAGGGACGTGGACGGTAGTTTGCACTTGACAGTACCGTCCATGAACAGGCTCAATCAAACCGAGCCTGCAACATTTTCAATTTTGCCATGTTGGGCTTTCACTAGGGATTCTTATTTCTCTCTAATTTGCTCCTCAGATGTATGTCTATGTTATTTCATACTGTTTTGGTGACACTTTTGTTTGTGCCCCTTGTTGTTTTCTCGTCTACGGTAAGTATCTTCACCTTTGCCCCTAGTTTTTATTCTTTGATTTACCCCCCTTTCCCAGGTCTTCTGGGCCATTCCCCTGTGCCCTTTGACTTTGTGGGCCTATAATTCAATCATTAATTTGTTTTCTTTGAATTCCTTATCAGTTACAATTATTTGTTATTTTAGTGATTAATCTGTCCGTGTTCTGTCTTGTGCCCTGTCCTGTTTTTGTTTGGGGTCCGCCTTTGCCATTTGCCGCTGGATCTTGTTGCTTGGTCGCGTGGGGGTTGCGTTCATTGAACGCCGCCTTTCCTTGTTGATCTTGTTTGTCATATTTTATGTCAATAACAACAGCATCATTCATTTTAGATTTAAATTTTATGCATCTGTATGTCTGTAACAACAACATTACTTTTTTTAAGCTTTTACTTTTGTACAACTGTATGTTTATGGAAACATTTGTCATTTTAGATTTGAATTTTGTACAACTGTATGTCTATGACAATGGTTTCATCCATTATTTGTAAATAATTTGGGATTGTATTCGTACATACCACATCTGTAATAATTTGTAAGTGAAGTAGAAAGAATATGTTCATCCTTTGAAAATGAGAAATATATTTTAGTGGTAGGGATACACTGGATGACAGGGAAAAGGAGACATTAACATTTTGTCTAGTGTACTGTCTGATAAAAATCTGGAAGCATTAATCACAACAAAATAACATGAAAATTGCTGACTCGTTTTGATTGAGTCTGGACATGAGTGATAATGATTAAGTGCAACACCCCCACGCCCCTAGCACCTGCTTGAGCGTAACTCAGTTCTGAACACTTAATAGTGCTGGCATCAATGATCCTGAAGGAGCAGAAAAAATATAACAACACTGAAGTGAAGTACGGGGCAACTTTTTACAGCTGCCACATAGCACTTGAAACCTGCTGTTGTGAAGTATAAAAATCTGGAAACAAAGTGATTCCTCGGAATCATTAATCACAACAAAATTACATGAAAATTGCAGACTCGGTTTGATTGAGTCTTAACATGAGGGATAATGATTAAGTGCAACATCCCTCACGCCCCGTAGCACCGGCTTGAGCTGTACTCAATTTTCAACACTTAATAGTGCTGGCATCAATGACCCCGAAGGACAAGGAAAATAATAAAGTTCTTTATTCCTTCAGCATAGTTGAACTAGAATAGCGCATGCTTCCAGGTTTGAAAATTGTGTTTTGCAAGGATAGCTGCTGTATGGTGATTAACATAGCTAATTTTAAACTAGATTTCTTGAAAGGTCACGTGACGATAATAAACATTTTCCATGTCAGTTAAAATTGAAGAAATTTTCTAAGCCTCCTTAAGATATTATGGTTTTCACACTAACGAGCTATATAAGAATGGCAAAAGAATAATAATTTATAACCATATTTCCTTTTAGGTGTTTTGCTTTCGGATTTTTTCAAAGCGAAAATCATGTGCTATCAAGTTATGATGATAGATGTATTTCTCTTCATTGATAGAAACA